TCCTCATTTCTGCCATGGGCCAAAAGTAGTGAATTACAAAAGTTTCACCTTTACTGCTGCAGGTAAGAATGACTCTTTTTCTTTGAAAAAAAATATATTTTGTACTCAAAAACCCTGATCCATAAGAGGGCTTCCTCCTACATACAAAAGCCTGAAGCTTATTTAAAGTGTTTGTGTGCGAAAGGAGATGACTGAGTTCTGAGACAAGAGAAATGAAACTATTATGGACAGGCAGATTGTGAGTATTCTGACACAGGTTCATCCTAAACACTACAGATGGAAGCTGCTTTAACTGTAGAAGGGCAATGGACATGATAAGAATCTTTGAACCATCAAGGACAAAAGAACGCAGCATTCAAACAAACCTATAGAGAAATGGGAAAAGCCTCATCAGACAAGCTTTGATCCATGATCAAAGGCATCCACACTAGTACAGCTGAAGTGGTCTCATTTTGGGAAAGTCATGCACAGAGGCCAGGAATGTTCTTCTGAGAAAGTTGATTGTCATAAATAGATCATTTTGCACCTATCTGTACTATTCAAGTAGTGGGAGAAATTAATAAAAATAAAAACAGTGGTACCAACAAGCGCTTCATTTGAGGACCAGTGGTATGCCCTTAATATTTCTGCCAGATCATGGAAAGTATCTTTGTAAATCAGTGCACATGAAGTGTGCCTTAAAACTGATATCACTTTTGTAACTGATTTCACAATCTGTCTACAAAAGCCTTCAAAAAGCACGCTTCATTTCCAACAGAGACCAGCAGGGTATTTTATAGTCAGTACCAAACACATAGGCAGAGACTCTAAAATATATGTACTCTGTGGTCAGTCTGCTGGACAAGAATATTATCTAAATTAGGAAACAGCCAGTTCTGATATTTCTAATCTGCGTGGGTCTCCTCAGGAGAATACCATGAGATGCCACGGGGTTTATTCCCAAGAGAATGTTGCTCTCCCTTTATGGAATGAGTGCATCCTGGACCAGTCTTTCCCAATTCACTTCTCCCACCCCGCCCCCAGCTGTTAAATGTTGTCAAACTAGCCTTTTTAATAGGTTCACATGAACAGGACTAAATTGCCTAGATCAGAATGCTGGCCAAGGAATTCTGGGAGCTGAAGTCCACATGTCTTAAAGTTGCTGAGGTTGAGAAACACTGGCCTAGAGAATACTCCTGTCTCTAGGCCAAGAAGCAAGTGATGGTCAATGTGTATGTGAAGACTACCTTGCAGAGCCTGACAAAGAACTAGAAAGCTTAAAGATTCTTCCCCTGCAGGCACTTGAACAAAGGAGCTATTCCATATGCGGTCCATACAGCCAGCATGGTACCAGCTATACTACTACCCAAACTAAAAACAGAACCAGAGAGGATTATCTAGTGTGGAAGGATTGAAACAATCATTCAGTCAACAGACGGATATACAACACTGGTATCAGTATTCAAGAAAAATGGCAGTTGTTTGCGTTTGCATTCCTGAAAGGAATGGCATCTTTTTTTCAGGCTTGCATAGAAGCCTGAAAAAATGGGCCTGTTTTAAATAAAAAGCAGAGAAGTGCTTGCGTGAAGTCCAAAGCGCTTTTTCTGAATTATTTGAAAACGCATTCTGCTGTAAGTCAGACACTAGAAGGAGCTGAAGAAATCTCTCGAAAAAGAAATGCACATCCTTTTCTCTATAGCTGATGTTCTTCCACAATTTGCAGGTGTTTGGATAGTCTCAGTGCTTGCTGCAGCTAGTGGGTTTTGGCAGAGCTAGTGACACTCAGACAGCGCCAAATTAACCATGTTTATTAGGCCATTTGGTACATTTTTCTTTAAAAGATCCCCACTTGGGACTTTTAGCACTTTTGAATTCTTCCGCAGGGAAATGTGCACTCCTACAACATCTGGAGGCTGTTTTGGTTTTTATAATCTTGAAAATATTCTGGATTATAGTCATAGTAGGTATGAACGTGATTGGGGCTGTCTAAAATCCTAGAAAATCCATATACAGCAAACTGAACTAAGGCAAATTAACCCTATGCCTGAAAAGGTCACAATTCTGGGACATCACACAAATGAACGTGAAGTTTAGTTCCAAAAGAAAGTAGACACTATTTTAGGAAATAACCTTCCAGAATTCATAGTTAATCAAGGAGATCTACAGGCATGGAATATTTATATCACAGGTGGCAAAGGTTTTGCACTCTAACTACTCAAAAGTAGTATTGTAGTATTTGACAATAAGGATATAACCAAGATGAAGTTTTCAGAAGTTCAAACAGACTCCAGTGCTAGAATTCTATGGTATCAGTTGTCATACGACTGTATCTAAGCAAGCAGCTATGGGATTGGTGGAGTATTGCTTAAATCTTCTTTTCAAAATGACTCTTTCAAAAACTCTGCACAGCCATAATAATCATACCATATTGAATTACTTGAATTTTAATTACATTTAAATAATGTCAAATTTAGTTTCTTGGTCCAACACACACACACCACTTAAATGCCAAAACCAGGTTTCATCTGCCTGTTCAAAAATTTATTTCTATTTTATAGAAACATGAATTTCAGACTATAAATTGCTACAAAACACTGCAAGATTAAAAGAAAATGACTCAAGCATGAGTTAGAACAGGAAGAAAGAAAGAAGGAAAGAAAGAGAAAGATTAAATGTATAAACATTGACAATATATTTCATGTTGTTTGTCAACAATATGACACATGCTGCCTCCAGCAGCATAGTACAAGTTAGCGGTTGACACCAAGTTTTGAGGAAGTGAAAATGTAGTCTCATCATTAGCTGTCAGTCTCCAGAAATAGTCATAGTCCTTCTAGGGACGTGGGGAAGCTTACATATATTTATATAAAGAATGTCATTATTGCATGGAGAAAGGGTGGGGTGAAGCCAAACACATTGAGGTCATGGGATGTAATACAAATCCTTGTTAAGAGGAATATAGATTAAAGGTACTTCCACAACATCACCATTTCCATTCTCCAATTTCTCCAAAGCAGTCTGAAGTCAACCCCAAATCATCTTTACTTCTGCTGGCCTTAAAACACTGAAAGCAGGCAGACAGCAGCATAACTTAATCAGTGGTCCCTCTGTTGATCAATAGGAGGGTGCATAGAACCCTGCCTGAAGCTGCCACTAGTAACAAGAATATCATCCCTTACTCTACGCAAAGAGGAACTGCTACTCCTTCCACGTTTAATTCGTATTTTGTCCATGCTTAATTGGTTGAAAAAAATCCAGTGGTGTTTAGGTGCAAAGAATCCAATCTTAATCCTTCTAGTACTGAAGTCTCTAGTCAGTTACACAATCTCTAGAAGAACCTGCCCAGTTTGATTTCTTCTATGTAAACAGCCAGTCCTGAATTCTTGCCTCACTGTTCCTTTCAGTTAGCAGTTAATTTTTCCCCCTTTGGATGGAAAGGCAGCAAGTGGTTTTTGATTTTGGACTCCAGAATCTAAGCCAGTTGTTAAAGGGGTGCAAATGAAGTGAAAACTGCTGTGTGCATGTGCCTTAAAATGGTGGAAATAGAACAAGAAATGCAAGAATCTTGAGTTTTTGCTCCTAATAGCGAGAAAATAGGGAAGGACAGGGAAAGGATGGATCTCCTGCACTGCCTTCAGAGTCAGAGGAAGCACTGAGACGAGGAGGAGCATGCATGATAAGCTATCTTCTCCCTAAGGTGTATGGGCACTGGGGAGCCTAAGGGCCTACCAGTGGGGTTAATACTTGGTATCTTCCACTTGCACATTGCCTGTTCCTCACTCTTTTCATCTTGGACAGGACTGTATGGATGGAACAGGCACACAGCTTCCTCATTTTTTAAAAGGCTTATTAAATACTTTTATGACTTAGACATGAAACAAGTCTAAGCATACAGAACTGTAATCCAACCCCACAAAATGGAGACATGCAAAGGTTAAAATTGATACCTCTGCTCTGCCAAGGTAGTTGGCAAATCAGCACCTTTCAGACCAAAACGCTTATCATTTGAACTAAGTCTATCCATTCTACTAACCATGATTACTAGTTCTAGAAAAAGATGATGAAATAATTTTCTGCCTTCTGACCTAGAGAAACAAAATTTCTATGTGTGGGTGGGGTGAGGGAGGGCAAGGAAGCAGGAAATAAGATTTTTGGGATCAGTAAAACTACACAACCAAGCTGTGACAGGTGGTCATGTTACTACTTTCCAGTTCTGAGTCTCTAAATTTCTCTGCTCAGCTTTCTGCTGTTAGTGAGCCATAAACTGAGCAGAATTATTTGAATTAAAGCAGAAAAAATTGTTAGAGCAGATAAAGATCATATAGGCAGTCTGTGGGTTAAGAACGTCTGATTTACAGACAACTGGTACTTACAAATGGGCTGCCTATTACTAAAAATGGTGGACAACGTTCTCCTTCCATGAGCCAACAAACCACTGAAGCTGCACAATGTTTTCATGAACCTCTGAAAACAGGCTGTATATTAAAAATGCAGAGTTTCAGCAGTTCATCAGTTCGAGGAAGGAGAATGCTGTCCCCCATTTTTAGTAATAGGCAACCTGTTTGTAAATACAAGTTCTGACTTATCGAGTTAAAGACAGACTTAAGAATGGATCTTGTTCTTAACCCAGGGACTGCCTGTATTTCCATTGTCACTATTTCAGTGCCAACAGAAGACATCTGCAAGAGAATTGCCAAAATTTGAACTGAGTGTTATGTCAAGCATAGAAAATTATCCCTACTGGATTTTAAACCCCATTTCCATTGAATCCATTGTGTTTAGAATAATGCTATGTAAAGTAATACTGTATCAGGTGGAAAATTTCACTGGCTGAAGGATAACTGACTTTTTCAATAGTCTTTGCCATGCCCCATGTAACCCTTTGTCTTACTTGTTCAAATATTAAACCAATTAACTGTAACATTTGCAAGGTGTAGAATAAATTATAAATCACTGTCTTTTGAAAAGTAATTCCAGAAAAAATATGTGAAAGGAAATGAACAAAAACAGCCAGAAACATATTAAATACAATCTATATTATCTCTATATCTTTATTTGTCATATTTGCCTGTTTCCGCAAAGCAGTATAACATCACAAATAACAAAATAGAGACAACAGCTTGTCTCTGAACTCACATCAGTTATTACATGGTAGGTACAAAACTAGGTAACTCTGTCTTATTATACAGTTTTCCCTCCCATTTATATACAAATATCTAAACTACATGGAAAAATAGTAAAAACAGAACTCGCAGTATGTTGCATGGCAAAAAACCAAGGAGAGAGAGGAAAGAGCTGATCAGGAAGCAGGATTATTTTGATGGGACTGATGTATAAGCAAGCACATGTATTAAATGATTAGTCTGAGAAACCCTAACTGGGACAGACGATCATTGCCATACTAAGGAGGAAGCCTTTTGGGACCATCTCTTTTCTGTATGGACATATAACAAGCCCTTCCTATCACACAGTACTGATGCTTTCATATGGCTCTAGTTTTGAAAAAGTCACACTATTATTGGACCTAGGATACTTGCTTTGTAGGTGTCAAACTACTTAAAACTGCTACTTATAGGATGCTTCAAAGTAATCAGCTCATACACATTGTATATATTTATATATGGTATACATTAATACAAATAAAAAATAGAGCTCTCCCCAACACTGTAATATCTGCAAGTCAGTCACATTATTCACCCATTCTATTAAAAAAGGAGGCTGATGCTGAAAACTCTTCACACATGCAAGTATTTGCAAGGTATACTGAGAGTGAGATAGTGTTAGGAAAGTTATTTGGAAGCAAAATAGTGCTGAAATAAATAGAAAGACTGTGCATGCTTTGAACATTATTTGGAAGTGCTTTGGGCCTCGCATGAAAGGCTCTGCAATTCAGTAAAGGAGCCTGACCTTGTTTAGGTTTCTACAGATGCCTGAAAAAATTACGTTGCTGCCTTATAAGAGTCACCTTAATTTCAATGAGTGAATTCCTTAAAGCAGCAGCAACTTTTTCTGGCTTCTACACAAGCTAGAAGCCGGGAAAATGTCTGGCTATTTTAATAAATAGCAGAAAAATGCTAATTTCAATGTCTCTCTGAAATATTGAGGTCGTATGTCATCCTATTCAATTTAAATTCTCATCTTTAGTGTCATCCTACTGCTAGTACTAAAGGATAAGTGACCTTACCCCCAGTTGCAGGGACTGAATTCCACAATTTATGCAAGAATAATCTTCAACCTTCCTTCACTAAAAGCTGCAAACATACTAATGTTACTTTGGCAAATGTCTGTAAGAAAGACTCAATCTAATGCTAAAAAAAAGATAAGGATTTCCTGGCAAGGAACTTAGCATCATAGTTCAGCTACCCCTGGTCTATTTTAATGTAATAATTGGATATCAATTATCTACTGACACTTTATGGAACTCTGGGTACCTAGAAGCAATGATAGGATTTTAAAAGTCAGCCCGTATGAATATATTGTACAAGTCTAATGAAGCAAGGCGGATGATTGTGTGTTTACAGAAACATGTTCCTGTTCTGTCTCCTCTCTTCATCTCCCAAGTTCTCTACTCTAATTATTTCAGGCAGAAAACATGAGCGGAGCGTTTGTCCTCCACCATCCCAATTCCCATCCAGTATCTTCTGGAAAAAGGGAAGTGCAAATCATGGTGGCAGTAGCAGCTTAACTATCTCTCCTGGAAAAATAACACAAGTTTCAGTAAACTTGCCAAGCTCCACACAAACACATACTTGTCCAAAAAAGTGAAACTTGGACAAAGGAGGCTGTTAATTGATGTAGAAATCTGTGTTTGCTATGATGTGGCATGTGTGTGTATGTTTTGGGTGAGAATATTAAGGCACAGAGAAAAGGAGCAACAGATTCAACCCCCCGAGATCCTCACATTTAGACTCTCCAATGAAGGGTTTAAGAAGCACCATAAGAAATAAGTGCCAAATAACCGCAACATGCTGGGGGAGACGCAGCAGCTTAGAACAGAACCAGCATTACTGATGGAGGAGGCTCAGGAGGGGTCTAATGTTATTCCCCTTTTATGCAGCAATGTTAGTTAAACAGGCACATTTAACCACAACCACAACAGCAACAAAGACGTGCAATATATTGCAATTAATCTGATTGCCCTTTTCAGCTTTAAAAGGTGTCTGGCAAAACCAGTGACGGCAGTCACGGGCTCCCTTTACTGCTTGCAAAGGGAGCCTGTGATTCTTAGATAAAAAGACACAGGCCTAATGAGGTCAACAGACAACAATATACATACATATTTTAATCTTATGGGCTGTAGAAAATGATGGCAAAAATAATACCTGCACACCACATAGATATGTTTAGATCTTTTGGCCAGACTGGAACAGGACAAGAATAAGAGAAGGGAAGATGGAATGTTCTCCATCTTAGGCAAATTCCATCCCACTGCACTTAAAATTAACTATTAACATAGGTAAAATATTTACAGCAGAAAGGACAACTGGTAACTTGCCACAGATGTTCTGGAATTTGAAGTCCAAGAGATGCACAGCTCAAAAAGAACAGACAAGGCAAGAGATTTCTGTATCACTGCTTGTATAATTCCTTCTCCAGAAGAAAACACATGTATGAAAAAAAGAAAAGGCAACAGGATTCTAATAGTGTGTAAAATCACAAATTAGATCAATGCAGGGAAGCAGACTTGCACATTTGGATTCGGTATGTAGGCAGATCAGATGAATGAAGAAGAATGACTCAACATGGCCCTCACCCATAATGAAATGTATAAATGGGATGCATGTTTCTATTTACTGGGCAACTTCCTTGGAAATATGCATCCGTATACATCTATCTTGGGCAGCTTTCCCTGTAATTATGATCATTAACTTCTTATAGAGATGTCTTCTTCTACAGATGGGACAAGTCTTGTTTTGCAGAAAATACCTTACATATTCTCTTGAAACACTGGGCAACAAAAAAAACCACAAATGCCATATTTCACTTCTATAAAAGGAAAAAGATCTGTGGATTGTTTCAATTCAGAATTTCTTGTCTTCCCCCACTCCCACTTTGGATTCTTTGCAGAGACTAACTGCACATATCATACTATGGAATATAACTAAAAGAAATCCTGGTCACAATCAAAAACTTAATAGAACTAATAACAGCTAAGGATGGGATTCCCTCAAATAATCAAAATTATGAGGGCGGAGATACCTTTTCATAATATAGTACAGAAAAGAAATTTCTACCAGTTTCATTTCAAATAATTTGGCAAATGAATGAAGATACAGACTCATTTTTGGAAACCGTTTGCCTGATTTCTGTATTACCAGCCCTTCCCCTTACCAATAACAGAAAAGCTATCAAAAGAAAATATGTTTTACTCATCTTGCACCTCTGCTCTAGGCTACGACGATTTAGTGTTTTTTAATGTTTTCTTTATTAAGTAAAATGTGCACTAGTTATGCTTTTAGAAAAGAAAGTCCAAACCACCCGCATTAGCCACAATGGTCCTTGCTTACAATTGGCATCAGAAGGTGCCCAATCCTGACTTGAGCACCATGTAAAAAAGGAATATAACCTGTTTTCTGGTTCAATAAATAAAGGAAAGTTCCAGGCTATGGCATGTTCCATCAACCCCTTAAAACTCATCATCTGAGCTCAAGAGCAGGGTCTTCTCATTGTCACGGGCACCAGAGGTGCTATGAGAGCGTGAAATTATGTGACTGCCATTTCGCCATGGTGGTCCATGTTCTAGGGTGGACTGCTGAGTGTATTGCTGGTAGGCTGGGGAGAAGTTATGGATAGCATCCTGCACAATGTCATGGGGGTTCATGGTCTCCTTAAGGCTGCTAGAGATGCTCTTCATTGGGGCACAGCGTCCTAGAAAGAAACACAGTATATTAAAAATGGTAGCCAGAATACCTTCTGCTTTTTCTCCACTCAGTTATCCCATAAACCTAGTCAAAAGCTACCTACAGTAGTTTCTGTTGGTGCTCACATATTAACAAGGACACAAATTAGGCAGGAACCAACTTTGAAATTAAAGAAAATTTGATTACTACCTCAAATTAGAAGTGAACCTATTTTAAGAATATGGTGTTGTTTTCAAACATCAACTCCAAAATTTTATTTCAGCATATAATTTGAAGTGAGTCATTTTGTTGTTGCTCCTGTTAAAAAAAATTAAGAGTCTGCAATCTGGAGTTGCAAATCACCTAGAGATCTATCAGAAATTAGAAAATCTATATTCTGCCTACCACTGGTGTGTATCACATACAGTTACAAAGGGAAAAAAATAATGGCTTCCAAAAATTGCTACTTTTGTTCACAATCTGCCTGCTATGACTGCACTTTACTATTTTACATATAATCATATATATGTAAAATATTAAAGTAAAAAGATCATCAGAATAGCTTGGATAATACATAATGTCAATTAAAGAAACAAAAGCAATTATAACCAGTAGTATAGCTAATTCCCAGAGGGATGGGCATATTACAGGTAGTCTTTGCTTAGCGACCACAATTGGGACCAGGAACTCTGTCACTAAGTGAAACACATGACCACGACTTACGATTTTACTTCTGTGTTCTCCATTAACTCTGCTTGTCGCAAGCAGGTTGGGAAGCACGGAAATGACAATCACATGACCATGGGACGCTGTGATGGTCAAACATGCAAGGATTGGTTGCAAAGCTTTTTTTTTACACTGTCATAACTTTGAATGGTCATTAAACAAGACAGTCAGTAAGCAAGGACTATCTGTAATCTATTGCAGCAAAAGCAATAGAGTCGTATAACATCTTATATTCTAATACTTTGTTATTGGAGACAGTGAGTCATGCCATGCACAAAGACATTAGAGATTCTGATGTGCAGGTGTAGTTGTTTAAAAAATTTCATCACAGCTGTTCCTATCAGGAAGAAGGAAGCCTCTTCCATACTTTTCCAGTGCTGAGGAAAAATGTTTAATGAAGCCTCTCACTGTGTTGATGATTTCCCCAAATTACAAATATTTACTGCTTCTAACATACGAGTTAGGAGAAATAGTGCAGGAAGCTGAAGTGGTAATAGCAACAAATTGTGTCTCAACAATGAAGAAACAAACAAGTGCAGAGAGAGCTTGGCACCTACCATATGGACCATATGATGGAACAGCTGCGCCAGATAGCAGAGCCCAAAGCAAGGGAAAGAGAAAAGGAGGAGAAAAAAAAAGAGGAAGATATGGGAAACAACAGTCTGAAATGGCAAGTAATTCTCAGGTTGTATAGCAAGTTGAATTCTTCATCCTCACCCTCCACCCAATTTCACCAGTGCCCTTGACCCTAAACTCTTCCTCAAGTAATAATGGTAAAAAATCTATACAATCAACTCTGAACAGCATAATAAATAGCACTCATCCCAATTTTAGTATTAAAAAAGGAAATGAACATAATGTTGACTACCTGTACTTACATCCTTGGAGATGTGTTCCATTGGTCAAAATACTACTTGGCTTCTTGTGCTCTCAATACTTCCACTCTCTTCATGCTAAGACTGTTATTCCAAAGTTATTTCTCTTAGTTTACACAGATGCACAGTTCAACAGGAACATGCATTCTAGTCTCCTTTTGCTAGTTTCATAATCTATGCAGGGGAGTCCCTTATAAGTCTAGAAAACTGCTGGTGGAGCTCACAGGACAGTAACCTATAATCCTACAGAAAATTGTCTTTCATTTCTGTATAGCTGTGTTCAGAGAAATGAAAACAGATCTGATGCTGATCTATGTACAAATATGACAGAAGGAAAAAGCATTCTGCTTCTCAAATGAAGCATTCAGAGAGTGAATTAAGTCCGCTGAAATAATCTTTCAGCTTTATATTAGACTCAGTAATGTCCTCCATACCTTGTGCATCAAGGTGCTTGTCTGCATAGACCCTGTATGTGAATGCATGCCGCAGAGCAATAGCTGCAAAGAACATTTCCACGCAGATGATGAAATCCTGATAGCCAGCTGCTACAGTCCCCACAGATACATTGGCTGAGCGGATCTTAGGGATTGCACCACACTTCTCCAAAATGGCCAACAGCATGCCTGAATAGAATAGAAATATTCTGAAGTATTTCTCCCCTTCATTTTTACATGTTTTATTGTGGATTATTATTAATTGCTGGCATCTTAGTACAAACATTTCTCACTACGATGATCACTGATTTTGGTTCATGTTTCCATTCATTTTGTTATGTTAAACCTTGTATTTTGTTTTTCTTCTTTTTTTTGAAGGCCGTGACATATCTCTTTCATCTTGGAGTGTAAGACATGAAATAATGATTTTAAGTTACAGAAAAACATATTCCCATTGAAAAATAAAAGGTAAGAATAGTTTAACAATGAAGCCAATTATCTAAAAAGCTTCCCTTCACTTGAAGCCTTCAAGAAAACCCTGGACAATTATCTTCTGTGGATGATTTAATTTGGATTACTGTATGGAGCATGGGGTTGGACTCTATGATTTAAATGTTCCTTTTCAATTCTATGATCTTAAGTACACGTGTTTCCATCCTACCACAGTTTATTCCCAGTCTCAAGGTATAATATAATGATAAAAAATAAGAGTATAAAATATAATTAGTGTTCAATTTTGTTTTTAACTTCTGAGTGCAATTAATATCAAAACCAAAATGAAAATAAATTAACTAGTTAATCACTAAATGCTTGATAAAGGAGGTGTATTTTTACTTCTTCCTAAATGATGGGAGCCAAATGTAGCTCCTTAGGACACATACTCCATACAATCAACTCAAAAAAAGTTGCAGTTGACACACTAGCTGGAACTGTGCAAAAGTGCTGCTCACCCCAACTGCAAATCCAGTTATAGTTGGGGGTCAAAGAGAACTCCCAAACTGTAAGCCTACTCTTTCTGGGGGACTCCAACCCTTTCCAGAGTTGATCTCACCCCAGAGTCCAACTTTCTCCTTACAACAGCACCTCTGTTTTCTCTAGATTTAATACCAGTTTGTTTTCTCATACAGCCCATTATTGAGATTTAGGCTGCATTCAAGGGTAATTACTTCTTCCTGGGAGTTAGAAGGTAGAAAACAGTAGAGCTGAATGGCATCCTATTCCAAAGCTCTGAATGACCTCTCCCAGTGGTTTCATGTAGATGTTAAACAGCATAGCAGACAAGATAGAATCCAGTAGAACACCACAGGTCAATGCCCTAGGTTACTGAATCATAGTTCTCCAGAACAACCTTCTGAACTTAGGATAACATGAATCCGAATCACTGTAAACAACATCCCCTAGGCCAATGTCTGATGGCCTAAAAGAGTAAACTAAAGAAATCAGTTCATATCAGAACTGAGATCTTCACTGGTAAGGGTCTCTGGCCATAGTTCAGAAAAGACACTGTTGATGGTATACGTTTAAAAAAATTAAAAATCCTTCTATACCTGTATACACCATCCAAAGTCCAAAATGATAGCTAAGCAGACTCAGAAAAGTAATTATTTATATTACACAAGGCATGATGATATCAAGTTTTCCCTAGCCAGTCCAGGCTTTCACTTCCTATGTTTTTTTATGCTAATCTGAACAAAAAGCATTGGTATGCTAACCATTGGTTGATTATGAACATGGTGACTGATCCAGAAAGGATGCTAAATTCAAATGGGGGATTTATTAAAAAAAAGTGTAGCTACCTGCATAAACTACAATGAACAAACTCAAGTATATAGTTTTAAAAACTGCTGCAGGATTGATTTGTTTGTTTGTTTAGCACCTTCTATTCATGACAACTGGGAACCATCTGATTCTAAAACTGCCTGGCACTTGAATGAATGAATTGCCTTATTACACCATAGTGGAACTGCTCGCAGGATTAAAAAAAGAAGTCTGTATTACAGCTGAATTATAAATGAAGTTAACATACAAAATGGCACTGGAAATGAAAAAAATCAAGAAAATGTAACATATATTGTTCAGTTGTAACAATCTACTAAATGTTCCCAATTATTCCTGCTTGTGAGTTTTAGGCATGTGCATTAATACCTTACCTTGCCAGAAGGACAGGAAAATGACAGACTTGACCATGAAAAATTTTAGGACAGGACTATAGGGGCTGAGTAGTTCACGGGTGGCAAAATAGAAGAGGAAGAGGGCATACAGAGCCAAGCTGACTGAAATATTGTAAATGATTGTCACATAGAGATACCCGCTTGTGACACTGTAAAGAAAAAACAAACAAACATGTCAGATATTTTTAGTATTGTCTATCTTAAGAAAAGTTACAGTATAGACTTTACCTTTATATACTTATCTAAGTATACCCTCCAGTCACTAAACAATGGTCCATTGCTAAGAGGCACACACAGTATTCTAGTAAGCCCAATTCAAAATATCTTGAATTGCACTAAACAGAGTCAACAGTGGTGTTTTACTGAACAGTGAAAACAGTAAAAGCGAAAATTGGAGACATGGCATTATGACTGAATCTGCATATATCTCCACAATATTCCAAGAGGTGGTAGTATGGGAGCTGCATTCAACTCAATGGCTATTATATCATGCCAAAAGGCTTTTTTTTGTCCCCACTCACTATTTAACATCTATATGAAGCCACTGGGTGACTCCATCATGTATTAGGACATGGGTGACATCAGGGTGCTAATGATGCTTAACTCTTTATTTCTTCCTGATGCCAGAATCAGGTAGAACTGTGCAGATGCTGGGCAAATGTCTGGAGAAGTTAATGGTATGGATGAGGGCCAAGAAGCTGAAACTGAATCTTGTCAAAATAGAAGTGCTATGGATTGATGGTTCCCAGGTCCAATAATTGGGTTAGTGCTTTGTTATGGGTGAGTTTGCACTCCTCTTACAGAGCTAGTATGCTGCTAGTACTCTGAGACTTAGCCAAAACCACTCCTAAGGTGATAAGGTTATCTGATTTGACCACTGTCTCGCCCTTGAGGATAACAAGAAGGCTACAGCTTTCCATTTTGCTATAGCTGCAGCTCCTTCAAGACAACAAGAAGGCTGCAGAGCTATCACAGAATGGACAGCTGGGTTGTTGGCAGAAATATGATTTAGGAATTATATTACACTGGTTTTAAAGAAATAATATTGATAGGCAACATATATCCAGTCCAAGATCAAGGTGTTAGTGATAACGCTCAAATCTGTAATGCCATGGGGCTTTGATGTCTGAGGAAGAACTAGATCCTGTATACAGCTGCCTTATTAAGATCTGCTAAGTGGTTTTGCTCAGCATATCATCATTGGGAGCAGTACGCTGTGTGAATTTTCTGACTGTAGCACCCTAATTATGGAATGTCACTCCCCTCTCCAGAATTTAAGTCATTGCCAACACTTTTGTTCTGAAGTCAAATGAAGATCTTGCGATACTCATCTAAGGTTTTGAGTTTAAGATCAGCCCAGTTTGTATTCTGGTTTATTGTCTTTTATTTCTTTTATTCTGCCTGGATGCCTAGTAATATAAGGCACTTATATTCACATAAATATATGTGTGTGTGTGTGTATGTGTGTGTGTATGTAGGTATGTATGTATGTATGTATGTATGTATGTATAGGGCCTGGAATAATCTGAAGAAATACTAATTACAAGGGAAATAATGCTTGACCAATGCACAGATCCTAATATATTCTTTTTTTCCTATGTTGTGCCCATCCAGTCTCCAACAGTATAAAATATAATGCTAAAAGAATTATTTGGTTCTGATCTTCTACCTCTGTCTTGCTGTTGTTGTTGTTATCTATCTTACACCTATGATCCTCTTTTCCTCTCCCAATTCTTATGGCAAGCATTCATCTTTACAAAAACTAGTTTCTACTCAAAGCTTTGTTTTGCTGGTGGATGATCTAAACAGAGAGACTTAACTTGACTTGTTTCCATGTGTCAGGTATGTGTTATTTAACAAAGAATCTCTTTACAATTAAACTCTTTACTTACTCAAAGTCCCCATCCTGGTACTTTCCAAATGCCTGAAGAACAACTGTAATAATTGCCATGAGGGGCTTCACCACACAGAACTGCAGTGTGGCCTGGAGGAGAGGAAGACAGACAAAATGATAAGAAAGAATATACAGCTATGGGCTTCCCTAATCTCTTACCCTTTATGTGTAATTCACAAAATTGCCTGCCAGCAGGGTTGGGAATTCTTAAAGCCATGGTCCCAAGACATCTCAATGACATAAACCTAGGTTCTTTAACCAAGGATGAAACAGCACTACCACATCTAGGCTGCAAAACCCAGACAACTTCTAGATGATATCTAGGAGATATTGAAAAGTTTACTTATTTGTTGTCATCCAGATTTTTGCAGCCAAGATATGATGGCCCTAGTGAAACCACAAGATAGTTTAAAAGGAAATCCTTTTTTTTAATACACACACTAGAAACTGCCTAATCAGTCAGACAGAAAAGAAAGCCAAAGAAAGGGAAAAGTTTGTTTGTGATAACTCTTGGGTGATGATCATAAGACTTCAAGGAGATTAAAAATCCAAGCACAAATCAGCCAGTGAGTCATAACCAACTTGTGAACTGGAAAATGTCAAGCTAATTGTTAAACTGTGCATTTGAGCTTCCTCTTCTTCATTCTGGGGACTGTTTAATCATTTTCCTGTAGTCCAGTCCCACAAGTGTTTATTTTTAAACACTTCCTGGTGAAAAAAGTATTAAGACATACTGGAAGAACAAGTGGGTGCAAATGACCTAGACAATTACCCTGTCATCAGGCAGATGTCTGAGAAAGAGACGAATCAAAGCCTATAATGGATCTGGTGCTCTTCAGAATCTCATCCCCCGCCACTTTTCTTAGGCCTGAGAATGCCATTTTGCCCTAGGCAAACAGAATGCCGGGAGCAAGCACACAGCAGCTCCTTCTTCCTAGAAATGAATGGATTGATGATCCAGTCAAACCTGTTGTTTCAACAGTTGTTTTCAGAGAAACCCTTTGTTACGCATAGAAGCAATGTACATACATTTCTTCATGGTAATCTTTTGAGTTGTAAACAAACATTAAAGGATCACAACCTTTTTGTTATAATCTTCCTTCTCAAACATAAACTGTTCAGCACACATAAACATTAAACGTATTCATTTTAATACGCACAAATTGTTACTTAAAATGAACTACTAAATTCTTCAGAAATTTGTCACTAGTGGTAAATCTGAAGGGCATTCTGCAGCATCATTATACATTTAAATACAGACATTCTAAGCAATGAGTCACCCAGAGTTCCCCCACTGGGGGGAGATGGGTGGGCGAGAAAATAAATAAATAAATAAATAAATAAATAGGTTCGCCTTAGTTAGATATTATTTTTATAGCTTCCAATTAAAAGGCTATTTGATCTATCATACATTGAACTTATTTTTTAATAATTAAAATTATCCTTTTTTTAAGAATGGCAAGATCCAAGAACTTGGTGGGAATCCCGGTACATTTAATCTCACTGACCAGGACACAAGTTAGCTTTAATTCTCACCAAGCTACAAATAATGCATCATCTACATATTCCCTCCTCATCTTTTCTGGCATTAAAAGGCTGGAAACTTTCTTTTCCTTAAGTACAAACAAACAGATTATCTCACTTCTAGACCATGGTTGAGCTTTTGGTAATGTGACAACTCAGCATACCTTTCACCTAGTAACTAGTATCTTTTCATTACAGCACACTGACATCACAGGATACCAATCTTCATTCATAACCTCTCAACTTTTGAAGAGAGCCATATTTTTGATATCTGCATCTAAATGACCATAGGGTATCAGTATGCTTTATAATGCAGTATTTTGCACAAATATGTCCAGTACATTTTAAAAATATGGGACACTTTTTTATGTGGGGTTAGAATATCAGCATGTATCACCACATGCTAATGCCCATTTACAGGGAACAAAATGGAAAAGGCTCATTGGTAATAAGCAAAATGGATTTTACATTCAAAGTACAAGCAGAGGCAAGATATATAGTAATGTTTACTGTCTCTTCAAGAATGTTGGGGCTAAAGCTCCCAGAATGTCCAGCCAGCACTGGCCTGTTTGGATGGAAATTCTGCGAGCTGTGATCCCAATACATATATAGAAATACAAAAACAACTCATCATGCAGAAAAAAAGGTAAAACTTCCTTCAAATCCAGGTAAACCTTTGGTAACTTTTGGGCATTTCTGTGTAAGCTTCTTGGGAATAAAAATGGTTTACCACTGCTGCCTTCTCAGATTTTTTTTTTCAGCTTCCCACTGTAGCCTACAGCTCTGGGATTTCTTGATGATTTCCCATCAAAATGGTTCAAGACAGATCCAATCCTCCCTACTTTTTTGTTTGTCCAATCCTGAGATCAGCTAGGATTGGTTAGATGTGAAGGAAGAAGAGTGAACTCAAAATAATTACCGCAGTAGAGGCAATAAATCACACTAAAAATTACATATGGTCAAGTCATACAATATTTCTATATTCCCATTAAATGGATATGACTGTCAATATCATTTGGTTGAAATGAACCATTACTTCAGAAAAACCATCCTGACATTCTAGTTCTCTTACTGTTCCTGCATCAAGTCTCCATATTTTTACAGTGAAATAGCAAGTCAGTTTGTTGTATTGCTGAGGGCTTCTCGAGGAGATATAATGAACTGAAGACAGCTGTGCAAAAGCGGAGCCAACGACTGCGGCAAAGCCAAGGAACCAGTGAGTAGACTGGTTCCATGGAACCTCTCCGGATAAGGAGAGGACAGGAGATCACCCACATGTGCTCTGTGTGGCTGCTCCCCATGAAAACACCACAGGACATTGGTTTTCCGCAGGTTTGAGCATCAGAAGACGATGGGATTAGTCATCTTGCTCACAACTGCAGCGGAGACTTTCAAAGGACGCTAAGTTCACAAACCTCACTTTCTAATCACTTTCAGAAATTGCTCATTAACTACTTCTAAG